TTACATGTTATTTGAATTATGTGTCTTAATTGTTATTTGACATTTAGCATATTAAATATTAAACTGCCTATTTTCTTCCTGATTTCCATAATAATTTATTATTTATCATTGTTTATTTCATAATTAAATCATAATTATTGTATGCTTGTTGTCTTATAATTTTATATTAATTGTTGCATTTATTGGAGAAATTTCTTCTATAAGAATTGGTGAATGGATATATTAGAGGATCGGGTTATACGCTGCAACAGAATTGATTAAAATGGATATATTGGAGGATTGAGTTGCATGTCGCAACAAACTTATTAAAAAGTCTATATTGGAGGATCGGGTTGCACGTCGCAATAGACTTATTAAAAGTCAATATTTGGGGGATCGGATTGCACGCCGCAATAGACTTATTTAAAAGTCAATATATATACTTGATTAAATAATTATATGAGAGGATTGAAAATGAATATATTGTGAGAGCAGGTTGCACACTGCAATATAATTGAATGTGAATATATTGTGAGAGCGGGCTGCACGCTGCAACGGAAATTGATGGAAATGATAATTGGTTATGACTGCTGAGTTGACTTCAATTATTATAAATGAGTTACCTGATTTATTTCTATTATTTGTTGTTGTTACTAATATTGCGTACAGGTTAATATAAGTAACCCGCCTTAGCCTCGTCACTACTTCGTCGAGGTTAGGCTCAGCACTTACCAGTACATGGGATCGGTTGTACTGATACTATACTCTGCACTTCTTGTGCAGATTTCAGAGTTGGTCCCAGCGGCGTACTATAGACTTGCTCGGATTTCAGCTACTCGGAGGAGACTTGAGGTATAACTGCACAGTGTCCGCAGTTCTGAAGTCCCCGTCTATTTTACTTTAGCTGTGTGTTTGTTTTCAAACAGCTTTATTTTATTCAGACCTTTATTTGTATTTATTCTAGAAGTTCGTGCACTTGTGACACCAATTCTGGGATGGTATTTAGACACCATTATTTTTATGGATTGTTCACTATATTTTAGAATTTACTTCCGCAATTGTTCTTTGTTATTAATAAATTTAAAAATTATTTTAAAAATAGATAATATTATTCTAACGTTGGCTTGCCTAGCAAGTGAAATGTTAGGCGCCATCACGGTCCGAAGGTGAAAATTTCTGATAGTGACAAGCAATAAAAGGACGAGAAAAATAGAAATGGGGAGAGCCCCTTGCTGTGATAGACTAATGTGCAAAAATGGTTGCGTATGAATTGTGTGGGGTATTTGTGTTCTATCTAGTATTGCCAAATGTTGCCAAGAATGAAGATTCACGATACGTGCATACACGGCAGCAGATAACAAAGGTTTTTCATTCCCCTGTTTTTGAAATTGCATTTTACTTTCTTAATTTGGGCAGATTTTAACAAGTTGTGTCCAGCAAATGTATCAGCCTTAAGCGGTTTTAGATCTCTCTTTGTCTGTGCATAGAAATAGTATGAGAAAACTTGAGAATGCCAGTACATAGTAGATTTAATTCTAAGAACAAAATACTTGAGTAAATCTGGCTGAATTAGCAAAGTAAGTTCTAATACTTTCTTTTTTATTATTATTTAGATTTTGATGGATGTTTTATTGAAGTTAAACTTGTAACTCAAAGTGAAAGAAGTAATTCAAGTTAATAAAAGACTGGCCGAGGTTACATATAGAAGATAGAGGGAGTTGTGACTAAACCATATGCATTACCAATGAGTGAAAACCTGCTTTTCAGGAATAGTTTCTAGATTATTACTTTAGGCCTTTAATTGTTAGGCTGTCGTGGCTAATTTAGTTTTAGTCTACTTATTTGTTTAAAACAAACTAAATTGTTGTTTTTCTTTTTTCTTAATTTTGGTTTACTTTTTGAAAATCTAATTGTTGAAAAATATCTTAGGATTGAAGTTAGAAATTGGTATTTTTAGATTACTTGGCGAGAAAAAAATAAAAATTATCTTTAGGTTTTGCAAAGATCTACCTTTTGGTTATGCATGAAAATTTATGTTTCTTCTATTTCAATTAAAATTTCTAAATTTCATTGGTTATTTTAATCACTTTGCTAACAGTAAGGTAAATTTAGACGGAATGTATAATAGAGGGTAAATATAGATTGTGGACTATTTCCAATAGTACATTGGTAAATTTGGCCTTTTTCCCTAATGAATATATTAGTTCCTTTTAAGAACAGACAAGTCCAATGTGTCCAGAGGGTCAACACAAGCAATCAGTTCCTAAATTATCAAACGGCAGAGAAGTATTCATAACTCAATGGTTTGATAGGTAAGGCAAATTGAGCAGGGTGGAAGCAGAGAACCATATTCAAGGCTCATATTAGTCATTGGGAGTTGGAATCAGCTCTTGCCATTGAAGGGTAGTGATCTTAATTTTAGAGCAAATACTTGCTATATTTGTGTCTTAGGCTACTCTAGCCGAGGTGGTGATGGTGGTTCTATTTGTTAATTGTTGGCATCGTTTTTATGCATTAGTACATGTGTTATAGACTTCAACCTCAATAAGTCTAGTACATTGCCTTTTCTTGAATCGTTGGAGCAACAAAATGAAGCTAACAAGCAATAAAATAGTGCAGACGAGGCATATATATATAAAAGCGCATCATGAGAAACTGCAATGCAACAAAAGAATCAAAACATAAATACTTTGATCATAATTAATCTAACCAGTAAGACTAACTTAGGAGTTAAGTCAGTACTGCAAAACATCCATGAAGATAAATGCACAGCTAAATTAGAAAGAGGTATTTCAGAGTATGAAATCTATGAAAAAAGAATGCATTTACTATGATTACTGTTTCAAGTCATACATCAAAAGGTTGATGCCAAACAAAAAAGCGATCGTAAATAGCCATATCTGATACCAAGATGACACTTAAAATAAATGAAGAGGACAATTTACTTTCGCATGTCGGGCTCTGAAAAGTGTGGTAGTGATCGTAGTGGTGTTGGTCTGGATCGATTGACAACAAGTTGAAAAGAAGGCAGCACAGTGAAAATAGAGACAGTGGAGTCTTTTTCCTTAGTGCAATCCAAGATTACTTCCTTTTTCATGTCGCAACGGACAGTATAACACCCAATTGTTAAATAAAGAATATTCCCATCAGCTGGATGGAAAGCTAATATTCTGATATGGCAATTTAGGGATCGAATTTGGCAATAAAAGATCTCTAGTGGAGTCCCTATAAAGGAAAGCTGTCTGAGATATATCTTGTGACGCAAACAACAACGACCCATGTTGTACTTCTCAAGTTCCCATACACTTACTGAAGCGTTTTTTCTTCTGTCAGGATCACGTTTACCTGTTAATCGTGCTACGCAAAGGTGGCCTTGGGATGCTCTATAACAATCTGTGCCACTTAATTTAGCCGGGAGATCAATTACACGAGAGAATCTTAGGGGATCACAGAACGGATCATACACGAATATATGTCTAAATCCACAATGTTTCAACATCAAGGGTAATGAAACATTGAACCACTTCCATTCACCTTTCTCGGAAGAAAACACCTGAATCTTGATCTCAGAGCTGGGTATTTTGCTATAATCGTCAGGAATCCGTACTATCCTGAACCTAAAATTTGTATTAGTATTTTGATAATGGGGTTTACATATAAAGCCAGTGACGGTCGAATCCACTAACAGGCCAGGAGGGGCAGGGGGAAGATCAATCCACTGCTCTGTTAGTAGATTGACAACATAGAAATTAATGGAACAAGAGAGGTCTTTATTGTCTTGACAACACAGCATTAAATCAGCAGACGTTGCGAGCAGGCGCATGTCTGATTTGGGAAAAGGCAAAAAACTTAAGTCAATGAAGCCACGGGCTTGTTGGTGTGGGAAACAATATTCAATGTTGATGCACCAATGACGACGTTTGAAAACAAGATGGTGATGGTCCAAAATATTGACCGAGATTAGAGAACACCAACGCTAACAAACAGTTTTACATCGAATAGCATCTTTACTTGGTAGCCTAACAAAAATTTCAATCAACAATTCCTCAAGCAGATTGTCCAAATTATTGAGTGATAATACATGGGGATCTGAAGCTTTGTGTTTCAGATCGAGGCCATGACAGGGCAGTGTCAAGTTTGACAACATCATACTAGGGCTTTTCTCTTTCCTCCGAAAATTTTCAGAAATTTGAAAAAACTCCAAAAAACTTATTTTTAAAATATTCACTTCAAATTACTCACAAAAATTCAAAAATGGCTCCAAATTGAAATACCATTTTCACTTAATTTTTTTTTTTTTTACTTTTCTGAAATTTTACAATTCTTATGTCCAAACGCCCACTAAAATCACAAAACCTTTTTTGTTCACACTAAAATAACTGAAGTTTTATCTTATATAATAGTTAAGTCACGAAAGTTTACATTATAACAGTAAGACCTACTTATTAATATGATTTTATTGTTATAGCGGGTAAAGTTTTGTTATTTTATTGTATAGCAAGTAAAATTCAATTACTTTGATTAACAAAATTAAAAAGTTTAGTGATTCTACTATTGTACGAGTAAAATTAAGCTATTTCAATGTGATAGAAAGAACCAATATTCACACAACTGTTTCCTTCTACGCTCCATGACTATTCTTCTTATTCTCCATTTCTGTCCCCTTTATCTAAATTGCGTGAAAAAACTATTTCCAGTGCAAATGAGTACATCATTACCAACTTCACTGCACAACAGTCAAGATCGTCTTATCTAATTATTATTTCACAAAAAAAGTTATAAGGGAAGCTAAACCTAACCTTTCTATATAACTATGGACCTAACTGTTGAAGCCCTGGCAATAGTTCTCCGCATTCCTTGGTAGGTTTGGACTACCCGGGGGAGGAAGAATAAAGAAAGAACCAAAATAGAAGACAATACTCATCTTGATCTCAATTTTTCGAATAAAAAAGTTTACATGCACACGCTTTTAAGAAATGTTATTATTGCTTGAACATAACATACAGAGTCATACTCTAAAGTAAATGAGCAAAATAAAAGAAACAATTGTATTTAATACCATGATCAAGCTTACACAATATCAAACATAGAAACAATAATCAACTCCCACGAACAAAGAGAGGCACTTTTGCCTTGGGCTGAACCTCTCTAAAACATACTACTACAAATTAAAAGAAGGATATCCCTCTGTACACAATAATTAGTTATCTTATTTAGTTGTGTAAATTCTTGAATCTTAAACATGATTTAAGAAAATTTTCTAGGATTTAGTGAATTATAATAAGGTAGGTTATTGTTATAAGTGACTTGATTCAGTTCTGTTTCAGTGTGTCCTTGGATCTTGGTGTTGGACGAAAAATGTCTGCCTTGTCTGTTTTTTCTTCTTGGATGTGAAGAACGAGGGATAAAAACTCCAGTTCCTTTGCTTTCTCTTCTACTATTCTGTTCATTTACATATGGTGTTCTTATAGCTGGATGGATTACTTGTGAAAATACCTGAAAATTTTCAAAGACAAAGAGAAAACTCACAAGTTTAATAGAGCTGAAATTTGAGATATAAGGATAATTTCACTATGGTTATTGACTTCATTCATTATAACAATAGAATAGAGTTACTAAGTCGGAAGGTCAAATTATGGGTCAACATATCATCTGCCAATCGCCATGTCAGCACTTTGTCACATTATAAATTCTATTTTAAAAAATAAAAAAGATTCACGGTGTAAAATTTATCACTACCCATATTTTAAACAAAAGACAATTAACAAAAATATATTAACGAAATAAAAGAGATGATTATAGTACTTATAGAAGTATAAAAGTTGTTTATCCAACAAATTGTTGGTGTGTATTCTCTCTCAAATGGATTTCCCTAATTTTGTCTTTTTTTAAAATATATTTTTATATCTCCCTTTGATAATATTTTGGTCTATTGTCAGTTCCACCCCAACCCCCAACCCCCTTCTACAAAGAAAAAAGGGAAAAAGAATATTATCATGCTTCCATGAAACTTATTACTCCAATCATTTAATATAGACAAGTGAGACTTGGTTAGTTGGTAAAGTACCTCCACCCATGATCGTTAGGTTTTGGGTTCGAGTCATGTTGGAGGGGAAGTGTGTAAACATTATAGATCCTCCTAAGTCCTAATTGGAAAGGATTATTTTTTTAAAAAAAAATCATTCAATATATAACTTTTTAAGATAATAAAAAATACTCCCTCTGTTTTAGTGTATTTGAATCTTTTTAGAATACAAGGGTCACATTGACTAATTTTTTATGTGAATTAGGATATATATTCTTAATATTTTTTGAGATAAAATTTACATATTTAGAAACCACATAAAAAATATTAGTTAACACTCTAAAATATTCCCTCCGTTTTAATTTATGTGAACTCATTTGACTGGACACAGAATTTACGAAAAGATAGAAGACTTTTGAATTTGTAGTGTAAAATAAGACATATATTTTGTGTGTGGCTATAAATCATTGTATAAAGGTAAATTGTTTCCAAATAAGAAAATGAGTCATTTTTTTTTACACGGGCTAAAAAATAAATAGGTTCACATAAATTGAAATGGAGAGAGTATATAAAAACTATTTACAAAAAATATGGTTAAAAAAAAATCTTGTTTCACCGCCAAAATAGTAAAAGGTTCATTCTTTTTTAAAGAGAGGGAGTACTGGTATTCATATTCTAGGGATCTCTTCACCTAAACCCATGCCCCACGAAGAATTAAAAAGAAAAGAGAAAACTAAGGGATGGAAAAATGGACAAGAAAGAAAAAAAGTTTTAACTTATATACTCTAGTGTAAAGAAAATATATTTAAATATACTCCTTAATGAAAAAAATGAGATTTGCAAATTAAATAGGGTTACTTATTATAACATGTAAAGTTGACTTAACAGTAAAAACAAATATATTGTCAATAGATATTAGTTAAATTTGAAAGAAAAATTGAAGGGGAACATAAGTTACTACGTTTACCATTGTATCATAACATAAAATTCTTGAGAATGTTATAGCACTGTGAAATTAAATAAGAATATTCTGATCAACCCGATTCATGAATTAGATAAGGATAAACAACAATACTACCAGTTAAGCTTCAGTCACAAACAAGTTGAGAGTCCAAAATACCTCCTATGAATTAGACAAAGATAACTAAAATAATTGTAGGGGAAAAAAAGAAGACAGAGACTTGAACAAGAAAAAAGACTTGTAGTTTGAGAATTGAAAGAAAGGGGAAACATATATATGGTACCTGAAGAGAGTCAGTAGAAGGGCGATAAGCTGAAGCGTTTTCATCTTCATCATCATCCATTATTAAAAGAGAGATTTGCTTGCTCAAATCTGCAAAAAACAAATCATCTTCTACTTCCATTAATAAGTAATAACTTTTTTTACAACAGAAGAATACAACTCCAAAAAAAGTTCAGTTCTCTCTATCTATCTCTTGTATTAGTTCTCTTTTTTTTCCTCTTTTGTTGCTTTAAGTAGGAGGGATACAGTGATATAAATAGGAGGGGGAAATAAAGCAAAAAATGGGCTAAAAAAAGGAGTATACATGTGGGATGGTGGGGTCAAGAATGACAGCTAAGTCAATCTGTGCAAGACCCACAAAAGGATATCAACAAAGTGTAATGTAGTAGATTTTAACTTTGTTTCTGTAGAATAACTTTTACACTAGATTCATTTAAAAAATAATATGAATAATTGTTCATAATAAATAAAATTAGTGATTTTAAAAATATGACAAATCACATGTTACAATAAGTTTAAGTACATTGATAATATAAGAACTCTTTTTAAATTATTACTCCATTCGTTTTAATTTATGTGAACCTATTTGACTAGACACAGACTTTAAGAAAAGAGAAAAGATTTTTGAACTTGTGGTGTAAAATAAGACACATATATTTTGTGTGGCTATAAATCATTGCATAAAAGAAAATTATTTTCAAATAAAGAAAGGAGGTCATTATTTTTGGCATGAACTAAAAAGTAAATTATTTCACATAAATTGAAACGGAGTGAATAGTATACAATAATAATATACCAGTGTGATCCTGCAAGTGGGCGAGTCTGGGTATGGTGGGGGTGTACGACAGACCTTACCCTACCTCGTGTGAGGTAGAGAGGTTGTTTCTGGTAGACCACCTGGTTAAAAAAAGTATTATCAAAACAAGTATGGAAAAATACAAGAGTAAAAAAATTATGATAAAAATATAGAAGAAAATAAAAAATATTGACAACAAAAATAGTGAAGATAACCAACATAAAAGAAATAATGATAGTAATTAAATTAAATTGTTATGATATTATCCAGATGAGAAAGAGAGTGACAAAAGGAAAAAAAGAGATGAGGATTGAAAAATCTGCACAACAGCAACGGCCCACGCTTTAATAGATCAGATATCTCATCCAAAGATAGACTACATGATCCTTGGTCATTAATCACTATTATACTTACAAGGACTGATTGTGATCCCCCGCCTGGGCCTCTAAAGTCGAATCAATATTTTTGACACGAAATAAAAATACACATATAAAAGATTAATATAATTAAAATTTTAATAAATATTAAAAATTTTAATACATAATTTCTAAAATGTAATAAAATTAGTGATAAAAATCTAAAGAATGAAGAGTTATTAAATTTAAATTTTAAATTCGCTTTTGCCATCCACTACCCTCAAAGGTTCAAACTCACTCTCACTGTCCTATCTTTTCATCCACTAGATATGGTTCACTTCATTTTACACTAGTAAAGCCCCAACTTGCATCAAATTCCCATTGTTGCAAGTGTATGTATGTCACTAAAAGATGGAAATAGCTGCAGTCATTTGGCTTTGTCACACTAGACAATGAAGAAAGTTAAATTGTTGCCACTTATACAAATGACTAGTTATCACATATGCCTGCTGGAGTGCTGGTTGAAAAAATAATAATTATTTTATAATTTCTCAGCTGACGATGAAAAATATATTAAAGTTTATCCTAAAAACGGATAACAATTAAATTTGTAAGTGGTTTAAGGATACGCAGATTAATTCGATACAAACGATAAATTGAGTTAGATAAAATAAATAAAGATATAGTAAATTCAAACCACGTGAGGAGGATAATTCCAGCCTTGATGAAATATCCACCCTCAATCCAAACTCACAATGGTCAGCACTGATGAACGACAAAAACCGCCGTGACAGAAACGACACGAGCTCCCCAATTTCTTTTTAAATACGCCGTGACAGAAACGACAAAAAACCTGAAATGTCTCGTCAGTCATGTCATTATGACCTCAAATGTGTGTCAGTCGTCGGTTGGCTGTCCCTGGACGCGAAACGTCGTGGAGCCCCTATAATATCCACTCCTTCGTTCATTTTTTACTTTACGTCCAAACTTCTACCCTCGTGACTTCAGGATTTCATTACCCTTTTTTATACTCTAGCATTTTTACCTTTGTTACTCAAGATTTTTCAGTACGTTGCAAAATTTTTACTCATTCTCTACTCAAGCCAACACATATGAGCTTTCAACTTTCAACCTTTCTCTATCTTTTTCAAGCTTTTCCAGATTACAATGGCCAAAACCTCCACATTTGTTCCCCAAAAGGTCACTTCTACCGCACAGCTGACTATCGAAATTAACGAAACCACTCCCGATGTGGTCGACCTCGAGAGGTCCGCCGCTAACGTGGATACCGATGAACCGGCTGTTGAACCTCCCTTGAAGATATTCATTCTCGGGGGTTGTTCGGTCACTGACAACTTCAAGGTTGAGAAGCCCTCTTTGGTGTAGGGTCGGTGTGAGGAGGCATCGAGATATATTTTCTCAATCACCGAAGATGACCTCCCCGTGGTCCGAAAGGACTGCAACTGGGTCGACAAGGACATAGTGGTCCCCGACTCCGAGGAGGCCATTACTACCCATATTGAGGGATATCTAAGTGTTTACACTTATCCCTTCACACTAGGCCCGGTGGACCCAGTCATTATAGACTTCTGTAGGAGGCACGAGGTATGCCTCGGTCAGATCCACCCATCGTTATGGAGGATTGTAATCCTTATTTTTTGTGAACAAGATCGACTCATGTTGGCTCACCGTGTATCATCTACTCCGTTTGTACAGACCCTGAATCTTCCGAGGGAGATTGATAAAGCTCCTGTGCCGGGCTAGTAAAGCACTCATTTTCAACCATCGATGAAGACCGGGATCGAGGCTGGCAGGGATGCTTTGTCCAGGTGAGTACCTCGGACTTGATTCCGGCCGAATTTAGGCCATTCCCCGAGAACTGAAATGCATCACGTAAGTACAACTTTCATTTGAATGTTGATTTCATGTTCATCTCCCTTTTTCTCATTGGTATTTGCGGCGGTGCAGCTGTTGCTCGAGTCCCGAATGCTATCCCTCAGTTCAAAGAGTGGATCGAAGGCATTGTTTCACAGATGCCCTACTCCGAGCGCTTGTGGCACAAACTCTCTAAGGGCCGTTGGGAGGCCCATTCCCATGGTAAGATTTGTTTCCCGAATAAGTTGTGTTAGGCTTCTTCTTCTAGCATCACGTTTTTATTTCCTTTATTTTCTTTATGCAGGTTTGCCTAAGACCATCGAGCTTAGGCCTCCGGTCGGTGATGAGGACTTGCCCGCTGATTCTTTTACTACGGGGCACCCCGGAGCCACAGCAGGAGAGAAGAAAAGGAGGAGGGACCCGAGTTCCCCGAGATTGGAGAAAAAGAAACCAATGAAAAGGTTAGTTCGTAAGCCAAAGGAAAGCTCCATCTTCCGAGAGCCTGACTTGGACTCACTCTTCCGGCTCAGGGACGAGCCTGAGGAGGACGAGCTCTTTGTGGCCCACAAATCATCTGACCCCATGGAACAAATGGCAACCGAGGGGGAAACGACGGAGGCTAATCCCCCTCAAGTTCATAAGGATGGTGCCAAAGTGAGGGCCGAGATCTCTCGAGACACCGGTTTTGCCCACCCGGTGTTATAGATATTTCGGGATCGCCCTCGTTCATAGAGTCTATGTTCGATGAAGACCGGGGGACGAAGGAGCGATCCAATGAAGGGATTCATGGAGTGGATTATCCCCTCCAATACTTCTTTGATGGTGTAGACTCAACCGCCCTGGAAGACTTTACCGGGTTGGGTGACTTAGAGGTGCCTAGGAAAAGTCTATCCTCGAAGGTCGGTGGGCCAAACTCTAGCCCGAGGTTGCTCAATCGGTTCCCTGCTCCGAGCATGGATCCTGGCTGGAAGCGATCAGTTGTTATCACTGTCCCGGAGGATGCCCGGGTTCTTTCTGCCCCTGTCAGGGTAGCTAGCTATCTCCGGTGCCTTGTAAGTGAAGAATACCAAGAAAAAATGAACGATGTGGATGCGCCATGCTTGTTCAACGAAGCACCACAAGCGCTGAACCGGGTAAAGTGTTATCACTCTCTTTTGTCTTCGAATTCGGGGTTTTGATGACTCTAATGCCTTCTCTTTTTTACATTTTGCAGGCATCAATGCTCCATCATGAAACCTTTCACCGTTACCGGGATGAGCTTAGCCAACTCGAGGATGAGGTCAAAGAGCTTACTGAGAATAGGGATATGTATAAGCTTCTCAGCGAGCAACATGAAGGGGAAGTCAAGAATCTCCAGGACAAGTTAGACGCGGCTCAAAAAGAACATACCGACTTGATGGAATAGGTACAGATCTTTTACATTAGTGACAACGAGTTATTCATGGCGACTAACGGTCAAAACCCGCAGGTCCAGCAAAAGGTCGATCGGGTCGACCAACTTCGAGCCGAGATGGACAAGGTCAAGGCCATGGCCGAGGAGTGGAAGGGCAAAATAGATCGATTGGCTTCGAAAAAAAGACTGCCTGGGAGTATCTGGCCTCGACGGAAGATCAACTTCGAGCGGCGAGGGAGAAAACTGAGTCTTGGTCCCAAAAACTCGAAGACCTCTAGTCTCAACTGGGCTCGGCCATTGTTGAACAGGACGCCCTTTTCGAGGAGCTTAAAGCAGCCAAGTCAGTGGCGGAAATAACCAGGGTTGATGCTAAAGAGATAGTGGCCCAGTACAAAGCTAACACTGAGGCAGCCCAAGACCGCCTGAAAGTTATTGTCGATTACATGAAGTGGCAGTCCCGAAAGGAGGCTCTCGAGGAAGTTCATGCCCGGGGTTTTGACTTATCGGCCGAGATTAAAAACGTTAATAGGCTCGAGGCCGAGGCCAAAAAGTTGGCATATCCTGAGGACAAGGAAGGCTCTGAGGGTTCTAGTGGATCCAAGGGCGGAGAAGACCCCGATGGTTTCGGTGACGAGGCGGGCTCCGGTGAAGATAACGCTTAGGTGCCTTGTAGATTTTTCTTTGTTTTTGTATTTTTGTGTATTTTGTTGAGGCCGTTTGGCCTTTGTAAAGATCTTTATATATATATATNTTCTTTTGGATTTTTCTTTACGATTGCAAAGATTTCAAATGCCTTAGCACGTAGTAATAAG